TAGGCAGAGCCCGCTGTCAATCAGCCAGCTGGGTGGATCTCGACAGTATTGTCAGGATTCGTCCCGGCTGCGCTCTCAGTATATAGCGAGCTGTAGCCCGCTATATAGTGAGCTTTGGGTCACAGAGGACGTTAGTATATGTCCTCCCGTGACCCTAAAGAGAACTATGGGATAAAAATTTTACCCCATAGCTCTCTTTTAACATGCCCGGCCTTTGGGAAAGAAGGAAAAAGATGAATACGTTTAAAACCTTTAAATACATGAAGGTGGGAATAAGGTTCATGATGTCAGTATAGGTTTGGGCAAGGGAAAGAAGATCTAACCATTCTCCACTCTCTTTAAGAAATGTGCTATTATTGTATGTAGTGGGATCGACCATTGATTCCTGTCCCAGGGACACAAAAGGAAGTCAAGGCAAATCAGCTCAGCTCTTCTCAACTCAATCCCAAACAATTAATTATGATCAGTATTCTCCAGCTGCTTTGTCCTGTAAGGTTTTCATGGGAAGCAAATCATATAGGTCAGTCAAGATAACCTTTGACCATCTAGCTATTCCTGAGGGTTCCAAGATGTTTCCAGGCCAGCTCAGAGACATAATCCCTTCATCGTGTTGACCCTGAGGTAACTCTGTAAAAATCCTCCACCAACTGCGCATGCGTCAAGTGCGCAGTCCTGTTACGCGCGGTTACACGCTCTTCAGCACATGCACAGATGAGGCCATCCAGCGGAACGGAAACGCGCCAAAGTGGCGCACAGGAAGTGACACAGCACACTCATCGCTTCCCCTATATAAACCCAGCCTGAGCACCACCATATTGCTGGATTATATTCAGCTCCCCTCTGTTCCTGTACTTCTGTGATCTCCTGTTTGACTTGTGACCCGGATCTGCCTTGACGACTCCTGCCTGCTACCTGCCCTCGACCTCAGATTTGTTTATTGGATTTCTCTTCTGCCTGACCCTTCTGTACCTCGATTGCCTGATTGGAATTGACCCCGGCTTGTTTACTTGGATTTCGGCTTGCACGGTGTTAGTCACCACTGGCACTCGTGCCATTGCGGTCCACTTGGTCTCTGTACCCATCCCCAGAGTCTTCGGGACACGAGGTGCAAGAGAGGCCTCCTCACACATACAGTCTCAACTCAGGTACATGACAAACTCCCAGTTGGACCTGGTGGTAGGCCTCCAAAAGAAACCTTCTATGTAGGATCTGTAAAACATTCCCAGACCACCTTAACCGGCACCCCTTTATCTGAAGCAGCATCCTCTGCAAGATACTCCTGGACTGCCAACCTCCTCACCCTCTCATGCGGCGGAATATGCAGATTTTGTAAAACCCGAGCGCTGTCCATAAATCAGCAAAACTACAGCTGGTGATCCAGCCTGCTGATTAATCACACTCCGCTGTAAGCGCGGGGTCCGGGGAATATCCGACTCTAACATTGCTGGGTGAACGGATGCTTTATTTTGTAAGAACGCAATAACAAAAAGAAATGTTCTTAAAGACGTAGTCCGCCTTCTGCAAACAAGAAGTAAATGCAACAAAATTGAGATTTCACGATCGATATGCATTTGATAATTTTTGCATTTAAGGTTGCAGAGCATTCCCCAGTGCAATGTTCAGGAGGGGGGAATTTAGGTGCTGAAGATGCTGCATGTCATCATGATTTATCTTACACCCAGTGGCGTAACAATCGCCATAGCGACCCAGGCGGCCGCTATGGGGCCCGGGCACAGGGGGATGTGTAATTATAAATCACAGGGCCCCATACAAAATACTGTTTAACTACTTTATATGATCCAACCCTCCCCACCCTCCCTTGGATCATATAAAGTAGTTAAACAGTTACCCCATAGCAGAGCCTGCATTTTCACAGCCCAAAATGCAGGCCCACAGTGTCCTATGAAGCTTTTTAAACCATTTTTAAAACTCTGGGGAGAAAAAAAAATCCTTGTAGTGGACCACCCCTCAGACTGCAATGTTTAAATGCTCGTGTTTGCCTGCTTAAAGCACTTTTGACTTATCTTATCCCTCATTCCCACAGACACCTGAGGGCCAGTCCACAACCTGGACACCTGAGGGCCAGTCCACAACCTGGACACCTGAGGGCCAGTCCACAACCTGGACACCTGAGGGCCAGTCCACAACCTGGACACCTGAGGGCCAGTCCACAACCTGGAAACC